CGAGATATCGATTATCGAACTTCGATATATCGATTATCGAACTATCGATTATCGAACTATCGATATATCGATTATCGAACTTCGATATATCGATTATCGAACTATCGATATATCGAACTTCGATATATCGATTATCGAACTTCGATATATCGATTATCGAACTTCGATATATCGATTATCGAACTATCGATATATCGAACTTCGATATATCGATTTTTGAACTATCGATATATCGAACCATCGATATATCGAACCATCGATATATCGAACCATCGATATATCGAACCATCGATATATCGAACTTCGATATATCGATTATCGAACTATCGATTTTTGAACTATCGAAATATCAAACTATCGATATATCGAACTTCGAGATATCGATTATCGAACTATCGATATCGGATCTTAAAAGGATAAACTGAAAGACACCTGCAATGTGTTTCTAAAAATAACTGTATAATAGTATAATGCGTTGTTAATGTTCGTATTATACATTTATTATCATAATTATATCGAATTAACAGAAATTACCATGATTCTTTTTTAATAAACAAATAATATTGCGATTATAAATTGAGATATAAACTATCCTATCTTTCAAGTGGAATGAAACTGCACACAGTGTGGACAATTTTCTTTAAATCGGTTCAGTAGTTTAGGAATCCATTGCAGACAATCAACGTGACACGTAATTTATATATATTAAGATAAGATTTTCTAAGATATTCTTCTATTTTTTTTTTTGTTTAAAATTAATATTAATAATAATATTAATATTTTGTTTATTTTTAATTTGATTACAGAATGTGGATCACAAGATGAAGTTCCGTTCGAAGAAAGGCCAATTACCATTTGTCGAATTAAATGGCGAAGAGATTGCTGACAGTACGATAATCCTTCGTGAACTTAGTTCTAAGTTTGATAAGGATTTGGATGCAGCATTGACATCAGAACAACGGAGTGTTTCTCATGCAATGATATCTATGATTGAAAATCATTTGGTTTGGGCTGTTGCTTGCTGGCGTACTAAGAACATGGATTTGGTATTGAAGGGATACAAGGTCAATTTGCAACATGCCCTTGGTACACGCATTCCTGCTGGAATACTTAATTTCTTCTTTAAATTTACGTTCGGTCGCAAGGTAAGATATTATTATTATTCACCATTTTCATCGGTATTGTATTTTTTTGTTGATACAATTTTATAGTCCGTTTGTAAATATTATATTTAATTATTTAGCATGTGATATTTAATCATATTTGATGTTTTAGAAATTAGAAATTAGAAATTAGAAATTAACGTTTACTTTCTTTCCCCCCCCCTTTCTTAAAAAAATATTAGAATAATTTTGTTTGTGTTCAAGTCATAAAAAAAAAACAAATTAAAAATATACACACACAAGTAAAAGAATTTATTACAAACAAACATTGGTTGATAACAAACAAAAATAATTCATTAGAATGTTCGTAAGTGTTTTCTATTTGTATTAAACGTTGACTTTTGAATGGCCCTTTTCCTGTACCCCCTTACACCCCCTTCAAACCTCTCTTCATCTTCGTCTTGTTCGCAAAAAAGAAAAATTCACAAAAGGAAATCACTCTTTTGATAAGAGTGTGTTTTTTTGTTGCTCATTGAATTTGATTGAATGCGATAGAGGGATGAAGAGATGAGGGGGTGGTGTGGTATTGTTTGTAACAATAAAAGGGTTTAAATTAGAGAATTTTTTAGAAGGACAATTTATCAATGGAATTCAATGTAGATAACAAAGAATCGCGACTGTCTGTAGTGAAATGTAGTGGGATTTATTACAGGGTGCGAGGAAAGTCAAGGCTCAGGGTATGGGCGTGCACACACCTGAAGAGGTATCCCAATTTGGTTGTGCTGATTTAAAGGTTTTATCTGACATGTTGGCTGACAAGCCCTTCTTCTTTGGCGACGAACCGACTACGGTAAGTTTATTCGAAAAATTATTTAAAATATTTCTAATACAATTATTTGTTTTTTTTTCTTGATCATTCTTCAATTTCGATCAACAAAAAAAAACGAACTAACTAAATAAATAATAATAATTATTATTCTAATTAATGTTAATAATTTATATCCTTTGTTTTTTTTTTTTTTTTTTTTTTAAACAAAACAGTTGGACGTTGTAGCATTCGCCCACCTAGCTCAAATTCTTTACATCGACAAAGAAACGTCCTACAACTTAAGGGATTACATGCAAGAAAATTGTCCTAATTTGGTCGGCCATTGCTCACGCATGAAAGAACGATGCTTCCCCGATTGGGACGAGATTTGTTCAACCTTGGACATTAACACGCACTTACCCAAACCTGAGAAAGAAGAGGACGGTGGTAAGGAGGGCAAGGAAGAAGCTAAAGAATCCAAGGAATCGAAGGAGGAGAAGGAAGGTGACAAGGAAAAAGCTGACAAAGAAGAAAAAGAAATGGAAAAGGACAAGGAGGTCGATGAGAACAAAGAAAAAGAAAAGGATGGGAAATAAGCTGTAGTGTGGGGGTGTTGAACGGGTGGTGGTGATGATTGATTGGGTTGGTGGGTTGATGGTGGTTGATTTGAGCTGATGGAAATTAAAAAATCGTTCGTACGTTCTAAAAGGATTTCTCAAAAAAAGAAAAAAAAAGAAAAAGAAAAAAAAAACGAAGGAATAATAATTAAAGGGTGTGTTGTTGTTTCTTCATGGATGAACAAGGGAGAGTCTGAGAAGAGATGGGGAGGGAGGAGAGGGGAGTGATGATTAGTCTCTTGTATGTTTGAGAAGAGTATGAATGTGTCTCTTGAAAGTATTTGTGTATGTTGTATGCATGGGAAGTGCATGTACGCATGTATGTATGTATGTATGTGTGTGTGTGTGTGTGTGTGTGTGCATGAATGGAATGATAGGAATGCGTAAGCGTGTCCTTGAAGGAACTGACGATGACGATGACGATGATAATGGTTGACAATGATTATAATTACAATGCTGACAAGAGATTACTATGAAACAAAGAGAAAGAGAGAATGAAGGTAGACAAGTGTTAGATTGAGGTAAGGGCGTCGTAGGGCGTGGAAGAAGAAAGAGTGACAGAGAGAGAGAGAGAGAGAGAGAGAGAGAGAATTAAAAAAAAATGTTTGATGATCAACCAGTGCTCTCTACTTATACGTATATAAGATTATTATTATTATTATTATTATTATTATTATTATTATTATTAATATTATTATTATTATTATTATTATTATTATTATTATTATTATTATTAATAGAATCATGTATAATGTTAAATAATCTTCGTTTTATTATTCGATCGTATCATCACAACGTTTTTGTGTATCGCCATATTTCATCTTGGACACCAACACCACACCCTTTTATTAAAGGGGGACACGCACTCACTAAGGAGGGATATTTTATAAAAAAAAAAACAAAAACAAAAAACAAAAAAAACTCATCTGGAGGAAAGAAGAGTCCCTTTTCTTTACCACCTCCCTCCCTTCCCCCGACTCCCCACCCTCTATGTATGCGAATGAAAGATAAAAAAAAAAAAAAATTAATAAAAAGACACAGAAAAAAGGTATGAGAGAATATGATTGGACATGGAAATGAAATGGTTGAATGAAAATTACTGAATGATGATTCATCATTGAATTTGAATGATTGAAAACGTATGGGGAATTAATAATAATAATAATAATAATAATAATAATAATAATAATAATAATAATAATAATAATATTAATAATAATAATAATAATATAACACGTGTGAATGTGAATGATGATTTATTAACCAACCAGCAGAGCGAGAATGGGCGCCCGCCCCTATCATCGTGAGAGAGTGAGAGAGTGAGAGAGAGAGAGAGAGAGAGAGAGAGAGAGAGAGAAAGAGTCAAAGTAGAATTTCAAAGTATAATAATAATAATAAATATATAATAGGTCTTTTGCAATATATCGAAATGCAATAGCGCCTAATTAAACGCAGGTGTGTGACATCTCTTTTTATCAGTGGCCAAAATGCAATTAAAATGCTAAAACAAAAAAAAGGAAAAATTGAAAAAAAATATTTGGGTGGGGGGTGGGGGTAAGGGGACGGCGAGAAAAGAACACACACACATATAAAATACATACATACATCCACACATCATACACAACATATATACATAATATACACACACGTGTAATAATATAGCATTTACGAGTAAGTTATCCCACGAAAAAGAAGAAGAAGATGATGATGATGGGTTTTTAATGAAAAAAAAAGAAAAAAAAAATAATAATAATGAACAAAAAAGAAAAAAATAGAAAAAAGAATAAAAGAAAAGAAAAATAAAAAAGAAAAAAATTAGTATGTTTGAGTGAGGATGATGAGACATTAAAAAAGAAAGAAAGAAAGAAAGAGAGAGAGAGAAAGTGAGATGTAGGAAAGAGAAATGATGATAATGATGATGATAGACAATGTTGATAATGAGAGGTCCAAAAACGTCTTCTCCCCACGTCCCCCGTCGTCGTCGATAAAGGGATGTTTTAATAAAATCCCTTTGCTGTGCGAAAAGTCACTTTGCGTTTTCGTGCAACCTAACATAATCTTCTTTCTCTTATTATTTTCTATTACTATTACTAACTATTTTATTTCTAACATATTATTTTTATTATTTTTAAATTCATCATCATCTTCTTCTTCTACTACTACTCTAAATTGTTTTTAAACTAAAATCACAAATTTTTGTCTATTAGGTTTCTTATTTTTCTCTCTCTAATTTTTACTTGGGGTTCTTTTTTTTTTAGTTGATAATAGTAGTCTATCTTCTCTTTTAATTTGTTTTTTATTTTTTTTATTTGGGGATGTTTCTCTTTTTATTTTTTTTATGGGACTATTTTGTTTGGTTTTTATCACACCTGACCATCAACCAACCCTTTTTTTTACATTAATTTTATTTTTATTCTAATTTTACTAATTTTGTTTTTTTGTTTTTTTTTGTATCCATTTATTTTTCTTTGTTATATTATTGTCAAATGACGCCGTTCGATATAATAAAAATATTACGAAGAATCAAATCCTCCACCACACAGATAAATAATATCATTATTATTATTATTATTATTATTATTATTATTATTATTATTATTATTATATAAAATATGTATAATCAAATTTTTACTGCCGTCTTGAAACAACCGAAAGAACAAAACAAAACAAAACAAAAAATAAAAAAAATCGTATGGAAAATAAAAAGAAGAGAGAAGAATGAAAGAGAAAGTATGTGAGAGAGAGAATGAGAGAGAGAGAGAGAGAGAGAGAGGGGAGAGGGGGAAAATATTTCTTTTTTAAACAATTTTAAAAAACACCATAGAAACAAACAAAAGTCGTTCGCGTAAGTCGAGGTTTAAAATATCACAAATTGAACCGAAATAAGAACACTTCAATCTTTAATTAATTAAAGAAAATTATTATTATTATTATTATTATTATTAATATTATTATTATTATTATTATAGGTTCGTTATAATTATTTGACATTGTTATTTGTAATAATCTACTTTTATTATTTTTTTCATTTTAATTTTTAATTTGTATTTTATATTATCTTTATATTACGTGTTTTCTTATTTTATAGAATTTTTAGAGAACACACACCCACACACCCACATACACACATATTTCGAACGGCACACTTTCTTCCCTATTTCATTAATCTTTTTTTTTTTTTATATTATTTTTAATGTACATTGTATAGAAGATCGTTTTTAATAATAATAATGAGAGAGAGAGAGAGAGAGAGAGAGAGAGAGAGAGAGATAACGAATGCGATGATAAGAGAGAAATAAATTCGATTGAAATAAAACGCGGTGAGAGAGAAAAGGTGCACGCAAATATGTGCACGACGAATAAACGTAAACAAAAAAAAACAACAACAACAACAAATTTATATATATAAATATATATATATATATAAATAATAAAAAAAAAAAAAAAATATAGGATACGTGTGCTACGCGCCATTTGTATTTCTTCTCTTATCTTTTTTTTTTATATATAATGTAATTATAATTATAATTATTATTAATTATTGCTATTATTATTATTATAATTATTATTATTATTATTATTATTATTACTACGATTATGATTAATGATTATGATTATTATTGCGATTTTTTTTATTTTTTAACAATGAACGACCACCCAAGACCGAATATGACGATATTTTACGATCTAATTGAGTTGTGTTGATTTTTTTTAAATTAATTTTTCTTCCCTACACATTTTATCATCCACCCTTATCCCTTTCCTTAAAGAACACTCCACCTTTTTATCCCATTAGAATTTATTTTTAATTCCTCTCTCTCTCTCTCTCTGTTTCCTTTTTTTTTCAAATTCTATTCCCAATTCTTATCCAAGACTCGTGTAAAACTACCCCCTTTGCATTCCTTCATCCACTCCCCACTCCTTTCTCTTCTTATAATTTTTTTTTTTTTTATGATAGAAACGACGACGACGACGACGACGACGATGATAAGATGATAAGATGTTGATGATGATGATGATGATGATGACGATGATCATGATTGATGATCATAATGATTTTTCTCGAATGTCATTATAAGGGTAATTTAATCTTACGTAATACAAAGTGTCTTTCATTCATCGAAACTGACATTTGATGTATTAAATGTTATCGAACGGGAATTGAAGTTTTTTCTAAATAACGCGCTGCCCTCATAAAATAAAATAAATAAATAAAAAAAAAAATAAATAAAAATAAAAAAATAAAAAAATGGTAGTTGCAAATATTCCACAAAGAGACACATTTAAATGATAATACATTTATATTTAAGTAGCTTTTACTATTATTATTATTATTATTAATAATATTATTATTATTAAATGACGATTATGATTATATTACACGTAAAAGGGTTTATTTGGGGAGGGGGGAGGGGGGAAATACAACCAACAACAACAACAACAAATAAAACAGAAAAAAAAAACAAGAGAAAGTAGAGAAATGTGGGGTTAAAATGAATAAAATAAAAAAAGAAAAAGAAGAAAGATAAGATGAAATGAGATGARATGAGAAAAAGATAAAGGGAAAGATAAGGAAAGGTAAAAAAAAAAATATTAAATTAGTGTGTGAAGAATGATGATGTTTATACTTAGGACGATGCATACGTTTAAAAACTGTGGTTACAATTATTATGAATTATTATTATTATTATTATTATTATTATTATGAATTATTATTATTATTATTATTATTACTACGAATATAAATAATATAAAATTAGTGACAAAAAGAAAAAGGAAAAGAAAAAGAAAAAAAAAAAAACAAACACATGGACAAGACCATCCAAGTTGCAGCACAGTAGGTAGGCACACCCCAATACAGTAAGAATTATTGTAAGAGGAACATTATTAATAATAATTATAATATGACTGCTCGTTTTATGCTCGGCGCTATACATTTCATTGTCATTATTATATCACCATTTATTAACGATATACATACGAACAAATAAAATGTGTTTATAAATATAACGTTGATCATCCTTTAAGAAAATGTCGTCTCTGCAATTTTCATTTTTTTTTATTGTTACAACTAATAATGATAATGATGATGATGATGATAATAATAATAATAATAATAATAATTAATATTATTATTATTATTAATGTAATCGTTCGTTTTTATTTATATTTTTTTTTTGTTTAATTAAATTTTAAAGTAGGATTACTTTTTTTTTTTTTTTAGAAGAAATGAATGATTGATTGATTTTGTTCATTAAAGATTAATTAATATATATTTTTTTTTTTATTATGAAATTTTTGAGAAGGAATGTGAATGATTTATTTTGTTAATTAAGAAAATAACCCTTGGGATTTTTTTTTTTTTTTTTTTCGTTCATTTGATTCAACGACGATTTATTTTATCGTACAATTTTGTTTTAAGGATTTTTGTGCTTAATATATATCTTTAGCAACTAAAGTTTAGTTTGTTTTATTTTAAAGTTGATTCTTTTTTTTAGATTTTTTTTTTTATTCTTATAACTTTATTTGGCTAGATAAATAATATCTTCGATCTTAAATCTAATAATAATAATACAGATTATTTATTTATAATAATAATTACTGACACTATCGAACGAATCTTCTTTTATACTGTACGAATTGTTTACTTTTTGTTTTTATTTTATTTTAGTTAATTTTCTTTCGATTAAGGTTAATATTTATCTATCTTCTCATTTACTAAGATATGTTTTGTATTGCTACAATTTTGTTTAAAAATAATATATATATATAGTTTTTAATCAATGATAAGACGAGATTAAGTAGAATTGTTGTAAAGTATTTTCTACAGCATCATAATTAATAATAAAACTAATATTATAATCATAGTCGATAAATTATGCGACAAGATTATTAATAATATACAGTACTATATAGTACTGTAAATATCATAGTATATAGTAATATAATATTACTACTATACAGTACTATATAGTACTATAATATTACTGGTATACAGTAGTATATAGTACTATAAATATTATATGTACTACTACTATACATAAGTATCTGGTAAAAAACTATTTTTAACATATTTTTTTATCTTTTATCTTTTTGTTTTTGTTTTTTTTTGTTTTTAAATATTTTATACACCGAATATATTTCTATCTCTAGCTGTAGATAATACTTTTGTCTATTTTTACTTTGTTTTTATTTAACTCGTATTTATCACACGTTTTAAACGTGCATTGAAATTATCTTATTTTAATAATCCATTGCGTATGTAAGTGTGTATGGTTAAACCACCGACAAAATGGCGTGACAGTGCCAGAAAGCGTATAATAATTTTTCTTTTTTTTTATAATCTTTACACACAGAGTAATCGTAAGTATATGCTTTTCTTTCTTTCTTTCTTTTTTTTTTTTTTTTACAATAAATATATTCGGTCCCAAATCAAATCGAGGTAGCACGATTACATTTTATCAAGTGTTTAGTTTTGTTTCTTTTTTTGTTATTTTTTTTGTTGATGTTTAAACAACGATATTTGACATTAGTTTTGTATATCAATGGACAATATTTTTTGATTAATTATTATTATTATTATTATAATATTCATTGTTTTTTTTTTTTTTAACGAGACATATAATGAAATTTTACATGACGGTCAGAACAATTAATTGACAATTATTTTATTTATTTAATAATAGGAATGTGTCTGTAATTTGTTCTGTAATTTGTTCTGTAATTTGCATTCAGTTTTTTATTATTCAATTTTTGACCAATTAACACGAGCTAGAGATTATTATTATTATTGTTGTTCTTGTTGTTTTTATTGTTGTTTTTTTATCATTGACAAAAAAGGGGAAAGAATATTTTATTTCTTTTCACCAGTTTTGATTTTTTTCTTCATTTTTTTTTTTCCTTTATTAGAAAAATTAGAACTTTTAATATTTGTTAATCGAGACCAACTATTGCTACAATTCTTAATTATATTGCTTCGATTCGGCTATCGCATTATGCGCATATTTATAATAATTCATCTGTTTCTTATCTTTATATATATATTTTCCTTTTTAAGTTTTTTTAATCTTCTTTGTTTTTTTTTTTGTTGTTGTTATTACCACGAAAATATTTATGTGTTATTTTCTAATCAATCACGAGGCTCAAAGCGATCCAAAAACTGAGCACAATACACCTATGCTCCAAAATTACATTTTTTTTTTTATAATTTTTCTTTTACTTTTTTACTTTTTTTACTTTTTAAATTTTGCTATTAACTATTTGCAACAAACTATTCCATTCTAATAATTATTCTTGCATTTAGCTTCGAATATAGTTTTTTCTCTTTTTTGTATTCACTTCTTTTTCTTCTTCTTCTTCTTCTTTTGGTTTAATTCATTTATTCATTTAAATAATATATATATATATATTTATATATATATGTATATGTATATATTTTGATTTCTATTTAATCATTGAAAATGAGAATAAATATAACAATTAATCACGGATGGATTTTTATGCGTAAGATTGATAGATAAATTACAATAAATCTTTTGATTATTATTATTAATTACTAGTGCATTGATTAATTAATGAATCATTTATTATTAATCAATCATTTAATCATTAATTAATCTCATTCATGGAAACATCATCAATTTGTACCTTAGAAAAAGGGGCAAAATTGCAATTAGACGGAATGTTTAGAACATTAGATATATATACATATATCTAATTAATACTAATTCATATTTGTATCCTCTTAACATACATACATATACATATGTATACATATATATCTCCAACCCTTTATTTTTAATCCGGTCCAGCCGGTTAAGAAAATTTCATAAACAATTTACTTGTTCTTTCCCCCCCCCCCACCCCAAGTTTAAAATAATAGAACGTTCAACGTTCTAATTTTGTTCTTTTATATTCGAGAGATCAAATCAAATAAGAACACTTCATCATTGAGAGAAAATATACAAAGAAATTTATCATTAGAACTTATGTGAGACAATTTTTGTTCAGACTCAAACAAAGAAAAACTTCTTTTTTCTCGACTTAAGTTCATGTACAAACCCACATATTCATTCATATATACATAACTTATATATTCATTCTTGTATATGATCCTCAGGTAACTAAAGACATAATAACAATATATATAGATCACCTTTCTTTCTTTCTTTTCTTTTCTTTTCAAGGTAACAAGTTGTGAAAAGATGACCAACAACAACGAGATAAATTCTCGGAATATTCATTATGAATGAAATAAACAATAATACTATTGTTTTAACGTTCTCCCTTTGTCATATAATCGATTAAAAAAAGTGTTGTTATTAATAGAGAGAAGATTGTAATTATTATTATTATTATTATAATTATTATTTAAAAGGCTGTACTGGCTGTTGCAGTAGTATTTGAATGCACGCCGGATTCCGAATTAGGACGTCCGGCGTGTAGCTACAGCTACGTTGATGCTGCCAAACTGATTGATGTTGATTCGGTAACAGCAGAACGTGGTTTGGCATCCAACGAATTGTATAATGGATATTCGCAGCATAAAATAAATTTTAAGAAACGTGGTACTTCGACATAGATCGATGGGGGAATTGGTATCAATGGTGACGTTGATTGTTTGTAATAACGATACTCAGCGTTACTAAAATCAAATCATTAACAAAATGTTTTCATTAGATTTTTACTTAGTTATATATATATATATGGGCTGAATTGAAAAGTTTCAAATAAAATGTTAAAATAAAATAAATATTACAATAAAATACATATAAAAGAAATTATTAAAATAAAATATAATAGTTAAATTAATTATAACAAAAAAAAAATGGTTCAATACTTTATAAAACATAATTCAATTTATACGAGAATAATATTTTTGGTTAATTATTTTTTTTTTAAAACCTTTGCCAATAATCTATGATCTCTACAATTTAATATCAATTTCTAATAAAATTCTAATTACATTCTTTAATATATTTAATATATTAAAACACCCTTAACCATAGATATATAAAAACAGGTTCTTTTTTTAATTGAACTATAAAAAGACAAAGCTTTCTGAAGAATAAGGTTAAAGTACTTTATCGATAATAGGAAAGTGGTTTTATAAAGATAATTTTTCTTTTTCTTTTTTTTTTTTTTTTTTTTTTCAAAATAGAAACACTTACTCTCGATATCTCTCATCGGAGGCCTTTTCCAGTAAAGGCATACCCGATAAAAAGAGGATGATAATCGTAGTAAAGATCGGTGAAGCGATAACAACCCATTCGGCTCCTTCAATCACGTTTAAGGATATTACAAAGATACCCCACCATACTACGATTTCACCGAAATAATTAGGATGCCTAGATAATCTCCATAATCCTACAATTATCATGATCAAACAAGATTACAAAATTCTATTATATTATTCTCTTTGATAATACTTAGTATTAATATTTCATTTAATTATAAGAAAGATATAGAGACCATCGTTACACCATTTCCCATTATTTACGGGATCCTGTTTGAAAGCAAACTTTTGTAAATCAGCATAGGTTTCTGCAGCAAGTCCAATTACGAACAACCCAGTACCAGCACTATCAAAATTGGTCATGGTTTTTGGGGCAGGTGGAATTTTGTGACGTGGTGAGTTTATTATTATCACCGGTAAACTCACTACGTAAACCCATACAGCCTGGAAATTGGGATAAAAAGATAAAACTCATGTCTATGGTTATCAATGATAAAAATATGAGATAAGAGATTCGACACACTTGGCAAATGATTTTTACAATCGATAATAGAAAAAATCTTGGCTTCTGATATTGGCAGCAATAACACCATTTCTTATTCCAATAAAACATGCATACTACGATATCTACTTGTTCTAATAAATTTCTAAATTATTATTATTATTAAATATATTGATAAATAAATATATTTTATACAAAATGTACCTGAAATGTCCAAAATACTGCAAAACGAATAACATTGCTCTTACGATCAGCGAATCTTTTATCTCGTCCAATTTTAACGATTCGATAAAGAAGATATCCCGATAATCGTACACCCCATAGACATACAAATACGGTCACCATAAGTTGCCGACTGTCGTAATGCTACGATCAAGAAAAAATATATGATATGATTTAATTATAAATCATTTAATTGAATTTTTCACGATGCATGATGCGTGTTTACATAACAATAATTTAAATTATATATTTAATAAACAACTGATTATTATCATAATATATTATTTAAATATTTTCTTATATAAATATATAAATAAAAAATTTCAAATATTTTATAGTTAATTATTTTTGTTGAATAATAATTGAATGTACATGCATCATCATCGTCATCATCATTTTTTTGCAAGAGAAGTGTTTTGTTATAATTAGAGTCTGGTTCTTTTTTTTTTTTTTGGTATTTTTAGTAATACCTTGCCAACTTGACCGAGAAAAAAAGTTAGAAGGGCAAGAATAATAAAATTAGTGCCACCGGCAAAATCCGTCAATTTGTCCAGTTGAAATGTAGCAGCTATAGTGAAGAATATCAGTTGCATTCCAACCGTAACGATTGCGCTCACGGCCAAATGATCCTCGTCTAAAATATCCACCGCCATTTTTCCCTTTCCTCCTGCTTCTTCACCGCGGTCTTGTTTCTATCTTTTAAAACCCTCCTCCTCCCGCTTTTCCACCTCTAACTTCTTCTTCACCCCTTTTATCGTTCTCTTCGTATCTTTTAATACGAATTACCTACTGTGAATCTGTGAAACGTTCTTATTATTATTATTATTATTTTTTTTGTATTAATATCCTTTTGGTGGTTTTGTTTCGTTTAATTAAAATAATATGAAAGAAACATTTTATGGGTTTTCGATAATTACTTTCAAGTGTTTTGTATTACAAATGAATGAATTTTCTGAATTTATATAAAATGTTTTACGAATAATACTTTCTTTTCATTTACGTAATCGACTTAATCATATATTGGCGCGAATTTATGTTAGATAAGTAACATCAAAACTGAATTACAAATCACATTGATATACTATATGTTCCAGGTATATATGTAAGTATAATATTATCTGCATACGTCGCATTGCAGGAATCAAAAATATGCAAAAATAAGAACATGTTAATAGACTATTATTAAGTTGAAAGACAAGAAAATACGTGTTTATGTTTTTGTTATTTAAATATTTAAATAAATATTAAACTAGCCGAATAATAATGCAATTGAAAAGAAAGTAAATAGTGTTATAGAAAAATTGCATGATTTTTCTATTATTACAATTATTTTATTTTTAATTAATAATAAAAACAAAAAAAGAGAGAGAGAGAGAAAGATATACTATCTTAAAAGAATGAAAATATTAAACACGTATCGATTTTTGAAATAAATATTTAAAAAAAATTATATTTAGAGAGAGAGAAAAAAAAAGAAAAATGTTGAAATTAACGAGAAGAGAGAATGAAAACGAATAAGAAAATGTATTTTCTATATGATGTATATTATTTTAATAATACCTCGCGAGAGGTGTGTTGGTAGTGGTGGTGCCTCATCTCAATAGATTTTCCTTTGGACGTTTCACGTCCACGTTGTAAGAAGAAACAGGAACGACTAAAACACGCCGGCGAAAATTCAATGTCGAGTCTAAAACGAGAGGTGTTGGTACCAACGATCACGTGTGTTACATTTTCGAACTAACATAAGTTAAGAACAGCACATTGACGGTGGTGGGATCTTCACAATATTCTCTTGCACTATTTTTTTTCTTCTTTATTTTCTCCTCCACCTACTCTCTTTTTTTTTTAAATTATTTATTCCCTTTATTTCCCCTTAAAAATATTTTTTTTTCTCTCACGTTTATCTTTAAAGTATTTTTATTTTTCCACCCTTTTTAATTTCCTCTATTTTTTTTTTTTTAAACCTTCTTTAATTTCCTTTAACTATCCTTCTCACTATTTTCTTTGACTACATTTTTCACCCTTGTTTCCTATCCATTTTCTTTCTCTCTCTCTTTTTTATATTATATTCTTCATCAAGTTATTTTCTTTCTCTCTCTCTCTCTTTCTTTTTCACTTATTACTTATACTATTATTTTCCGTTTTTTTCATTCAACGTTAACCCATCCACCTCTTTCTATCTTCTTTCGTATTTGTTCTTTCTCTTTTTCTCTTTACCTTCGTACTTTCCCCTCTCTTTTCCTTTTCTGGATATCATTTGAAGTGCAAGAGCGTGCGCGACTGAACCCCTACAGTATATTCTACACCCACCCACCCCTATTTTCTATATATTTTTTTTCAACTCCCCTCTCTCTCTCTTTTGCGCAATGGTTGGCACAGTAATCTGCGCATATTGCGACCAACGAATCGATAGGATGCGCAAGAGTGCATAAAAGGGTGCTTCCTAATGAACGATGAAAAGGGTTTCAAAGATGATGGTCAAAATTTTCCCTAACGAAGTATCCCTATTACCTCACCCTCTTTTCTTTTTGATTTCTATAGGAAGAAGATAATATGTAATTCAATTAATTCATTTGTTTCTTTGTTCATTTTTTGTTGAGAGAGTGTTTAAATTAATTGACGAATGAATGGGGGTGATGTATGTAGATCAATTTAAATTTTGTGCGCTTTTATCGTATTAGGAAAGGGATGGTTTGTTCACGTGATCAACAGTTAGAGGATGATAATACTTTTTTGGAAAAATAATAAAAAATTGTTCAATTCGTGGCAGTGTTTTCTTTTTCTTTCTTTCGTTTCTTTTCCTCTTTTTTTTTTTATTATAATTTAAAAATAATAATATATATATAACGACATTATATGTTAAGAATAAATTATATTTATTCCAATAATGTTTAGATTGTACCTTTAATGAATATCTTTTTTTTTTTTTTAGAATAATAATTAAATATCCTAAGTATATAAATTGCAACAAGATTCAAGAAGGAAGGTAACGATTACGTTCCTTTGTACATTGAAACTTAACTTATTATCTCTCATATTTTTTTATTTCAATGTATGTAATTTCAAAATGGAATCATTTTACTTATAGGAGGTGTACAAAGTTTTTTTTAATAGATTCTCGTGTCAATTGAATGCACATTCAACGAAGAAGACGCATATAATTCACACTACGCATTGTTAATACAAAATCAAATCTCTTTATGCAAAATTGATGTTTAACAGTTCTTTTTAATCTTACACGTGTGTAGTTGAAACTTTCTCTTCCCCCTGATAAGTCTTATTTGCGTTGTAATCCCATTTATAACACAACTTTTTATCCTTAAGATCTGGTGTATTTTCCCCAAATATGAAGCATGAACACGGATGCGATGAATAAGAGAGACATAACCAGTACTGGTACAGGACCTCTGAATATACAAACATATTTTAATATCACATTCATGTTCTAAGATTTAATTAATTATCAACAAAAGATTTCTAGTGCTAACATCGACCAAGTAATAATCATAAAGTAAGAAAGGAACCGTATGGTATATCTATTTTCTTTTGATAAATATATCCATACGTGTTACAGCTAATAATTGGTTAAGTTAGACAATAGTTATAGATAAGTAACTTACACTTTAATGCCAGGTGAATCATCTGTATAAAATCTCCACATACCACCAGAGCTTGTACCAGTGTTTCTATTTCTAGAGGATGTAGCAGTGGCAGTTTTACGTTGTCTGACAGTGCCACTGCCACCTGCTCTAGGTGCTATAGCTTTACTAGGTGAACGACCCGCGGATCCAACCGATGTTGCACTAGCTGCGGCAGGCTTATAATAAAATACAAATTTATTATTTTACTTTGTTTACATTTAAATTATTCCAATAAGAATAAGAAATAATAATCACATTCTGTATTTTATTATTGTATCACTTACCATTGTGGTTGTTGATAATTAAATGTACTTTAAATCAAAAATGTATTTTATCACAGTAGTAATTTTCTAGTCAATTATACAAATTTCTTTTATGTCAAATATTTGAACGTTGCAGTAGTTTAGTAGGACGGACATATAAATGAACAACTGGAAGTTCCGTGATTTACCAAACGATAGACTTTTGCTTATCAATTGAAACTACGTTTTTGAACACTCGCTTCCGTCTGAAGTACACCGATCAACGACGTGTCATATGTATACGATACACGTGGTGCATCTCTGACACGTCATCGAAATCAGCTATATTCATCTTCTTCGTTGGATGCGTCATTTAAGGTCAATTTTCATGAAAGTTTTTGAAATCGACGCTTGAGTGCGCTGTTTCCCTCGTCATTCATAATTGGCGCCAAATTCAAATACCTTCAATTTGTTTTCATTCATTTGACAATTTATGTATAATAAATCAATAACAAATGAAATTATTTTAATAACAAAGGGATTATAAACGAAAGCATCTAACGACGAAAAGATATTTTTAACAATTTCTTTGGTATTTTTTTTAATAACATCACGGTATTCATCTACAATTATTCATGTGACAAAATAAAAAATATATAAATCAATAAGAAATGTTATATAATAATAGAGTTACTTGAATCATAATTAAATGTTTATAAATTCGTTTATAAAGAACACGGTATTTGTACCTTAATCTTATGTGTATATGAGGAGTTATGATACATACTCGCAAATATACTAACTGTGCCAACCATTTAGAGAAAAACAATTTTTATTAAAAGCTGGCCCTTTCCTTTTTTTTTTTTTTTTCTTTAATTTTCTTTTTCTTTTTTAAATCGTCGATATTGCTTCAGCTTAAACTTTAGGTCTAATATTTTGGTTCTTTGGAAAAAGTATTTATATGTTTATAATTTTATAAAGATAATATATAATTGTAATATATATATAAAATATGTATGAATATTAATTACT